TCATGTTACAAATACAAAATGTTTTTATAACTTTTTTGCAATGTTTTTTTCCTCTGACTGAAAGTTAGTATATTCTATGAATGTGTGTAATAAAATTTAATATTATGTATATTGATTTTTTTTTTCTTGTACTCCTTCACTTCATATATGACATAGTTGGCTCCCTAAAGACACTGATTGCATAGTCTTAGTCAGACCATTTAGTATGTTTTATGTTATATAAAGGTTTTACATGCTATATATATATTAGAGAGATGCACTGGCACCTTTTTTTGCAGATAGTGCATACTGCCAGATGCAAGTAACATATTTTTAGATAATTTCAATAATATTTTCAAAATTAATTAATTCACATTCTGTACCAGTATAAATTCATACAAAGCTATCAGCATGAAAAAATGTACTATTTTTTAAATTAGTTAACCATGGGCTTAGTGACACTGACCAATCCTTCCCCCCAGATATGTGAAACTAGACATGCTATTTTTTTTTACTATAACTGAATTTACTAAGTGTGTCTTCATGAAACTTGGCAAGCTTTTAGTAAATGTTAAAAGTCTGTTATGCACAATCTCTCTGTGGATTTTGGAAAAATTTACTGAGTCAGTCTCAGTGAAAGGTGATTATTATGCTAAGAATAAAAATACTTATTTTTATCTTAGTTTTCATATTTAATTCATAACCTCTATAACATCCTAAATGAATATCAAAAGCTTTTTGGGGAAACTTTATATTTTATCTCATTTTCTCTGCCCCAACACTAACTGTAGAGAAATCATCAATATGAAATGAAAATTTGAAAAATATGATATAAAATTAGTAATATCATATTTTTTTCCTTTGCATTAACTGCAGTACTGATCAGAAAGTTCCAAATTACTTATCGTAGGAGTTTCAACTATTAACATTTTCATATCTGTTTTCTTTTAATCTCATAGTTTTATTGCTGTGCTTTTGTACCCACTGAAGCAGTAATCTTCTTGTCAAAGCTGTTTCTGATAGACCTACCATAAACAGCATGTGAAATATGACATCACTATGCATAGACTTGAGCTTGTGAAATTTTAGATGTTGTATTTTGCTGAACTTTTGTTAGGCTATGCTGAGAAGTTTCTGATTTCTACATTTTAGTTACTTTTGCTTAAAAATATACAACAATAAGTACAAAATACATAAAAAGTAAGGATTTGTAGTATTCTTTGTATACTTGAGTTAATTTGCACTCAAGTAAAAATTAAAGCCATTCTTCCCTAAGCTTCATTGAATCAGATATTTATGTGACCAAAAAAAAGAATTTGCATTGCTTTCATGTATGCATTTTAGAACACCAAAAATATATCATTTACTAGAATAGAATGTTCCAAAACTACTGTAGTTTATTTTGCTTTCTGAATAAGTTATAAACAGGATGGTGATCATAGACAAAGACACTATGGCTGACTAAACTTAAGCATGCCAAAATCAAATAACTGTAATAAGCCTTATGTAGAGAATCTGCTTTTTCAATTAGTTATAAACATATTCACGAGGTATCTAAAATTGATTAGCAAAGCAATCTCTTAAATCAGAGAGGGCTTCTCTGGTGGGTTTGACAACTTTAGTGGTATCAGTAGGCCTAAAACTTTTTATAAAATCATATGAACTGCATATGTTTTTTTTTCCTGAAATGATAGATTTACCTTTGCACACAGTAGTTATTACTTGTGCATCTACCTATGATATTTTGTGCATGCTACTAGCCTTGAACTATCTCTTACCTAAGACACATGTTATAACTTGAACTGTACTAGTGTATGTTGTAATCATCATGTGACAATAGACCACCATCACCACTAGGAGGGTGTTTCTTTAAGTTTAAACTTAATCAATTTCATGAGATTTGCACACTCTTTTCACAGTATTAACTTTCTTTGGGTTCCCTTAATTTGTTTTAACTTCAATTTAAAGCTACGTTCTGTTAATTAACTAAAACAAATATATAGATTTTTTTGATCTGGAGAATTGCTACAATGACCAGGAATTTTGAAGTGATGTTGACTACCACCTCCTCTCAAGGTTCTGGTGATGTTGCTAACACTGTTCCTACTTTGTCTGTGGCCACTGGAGGCTCCTGAACTGTTGAAGGCATTACCATTATAGTTTATCATGGTGTGGGTTCTTTGATGCCTTCTTTACCTCATCTCTCTGTCTCTGCATCTGAAATTATGTTCTTCTCTTTTGGAACCAGACCATGAGGATGATGACTTGGATCAGCTCTTTTTCACCTTCTGGGTTTGCATTAGGTATTTTTTTACCCATTGAGGACAATGTTCCTCCTCCAAATCTCTTTGTGGATTTGTTTTCTAAGGTTTGTACTTTACTTTCATTTTCACTCATTCCCTTTGATTCTTGTTCCTTACTATGTGACTCTCATGCTGAGGATTATTTGTTTTTTTCCTCCTCTCGATGTATGTGTTCATACTGACATGTTTTTGTAACAACTTCATTCCCACTGTCAAATGCTCCATCCTTCTTGACTCCAGGATTTCTTCATCATAACTTACAATCATTACCCTTTTATGTTCTTGGATTCCCAATTATTGGAGTTTTTTCTACCTGCTTGAGAGGCTGACCCCTAACTCCAGTAACACTCTCTAGTGCTCAATTTTCCAAATTTCGTCTTTTTCTTACCTATATCCTTCTTTACCTATCCTCTTTTCATGAAACTCTGCACTGTGATCCCAATAGTTTGCAGACCTTTGGACAAATTTTGCAGCTGAGCAGTTGTATTTCAGGTTCTTACTTATGGCGTTTCTCCTCACTTCTCATCTGTTCTCTTATATTTCAGGTTTTTACTTATGGCATTTCTCCTCACTTCTCATCTGTTCCTGATCCATTCTCTTTCCTGTTCTTTTTTCCTCCTCCTTATAATCTTCAGCATCTTCTGTGTTTCAAGGCTATGGTATTGGATCCTTTGAATATGAGAGCCATCAAGAGGTTCATTTGACCCTCTTCAGAGTTTTATTTTCATTTTTTATTGTTGTCCCCCAAAAGACTAATGACTGGTGTCTCATCATCAGCCTTTTCTCCCAACTACTACTATCTAGTGGTTCCTTGGCTCAAGATGGAGGGATTTCTTCCTCTCTGTTGGTACTTTTTCTCTGGACTATAGATGACCAAGGTCAACATCTTGGACACCTTTCTCCATATTCCAATTGCTCCCCTTTGGCATCATTTCAGCTTCTTATATCTTTAGCTAAGTTATGGGAACATTTACTTACCATGTCCACAGTCTTGGACTTCATTCCATTATTACATGGACGACTGGCTCCCCCTCATCTTTTTTGAGGAGGTCTCCTTCTTAGCCATATCACTTTTTCTCCAAGAGGTAGCTCATTTGGGTTGGCTGGTTAAGTTTTCCAAGTCATTTCTGTCTCTGACTCAATACTTATTCCACCATGGATTCTTTTTCAGTTCTTGAATTATTTGTATCTCTGGAAAATCTTGTCCCTCTAGGATCACATGAGCCTTCGTCGATGGACTTTGAGCAACCAGTGGAAAATCTCTTGTGATTCTCTATCCTCTTATGATGCTGCCACTTTCTCTTCTTGAAGAAAGCATTAAACTCATCTACCCCTGGCTCCTAAAGTGCCCACTGTAGAGGTGGAGTTTTTCACAAGACCACTATAGTGACATATATATTTCATTGTCCAGACTGTACTTTCCATGGACTATCTTGGAAAAAACAGCACCAGAGGAGTGTCTGCTCACTTCCCAGTCACACGCATGCTGACTTTTCAAATTAGGATTCACTGTAACCCATTGTGCTTTCTCCAGCAAAAGACTTTTGTAGGGGTTGGGTCTGATCATGAATTCCTGTCCCTGGGTGATTGAGTGAAGCACAGGAGATTCTTTCTACTACCAGTTCATAGCTGCTGGAGTACACTAGTTGGAGAATTCCTCGTCATTTGTGAGATTATTTTGGAGAGAGAGTCCTACGGGGCAGCACAATGCTTTGGAAAGGGGGACAGGGGTGTTCAGGTCTGTGCAGTTAGGTCACCCCTATTATATAACATGTCAATTTCCCAGTGATTTGGTCAGTCTGATGGGGCATATGACAGGAAGAGACTAAGTTCCTGTTCGAAAGGTGAGTAAATTGTATAATGGAGTATACAATCTGATTATTGCCCTAGCGAAACTACACCTCATGCCTGAATGATCTGTTGTGTTCAAATGTTGGCCATGTCTTCTTCCATCCATCCTTGAAATACAGGGGTTTGTTTTATTTTGTCCTCTTACTTTCAAACTTCCATTTGGACAAAGAGTATACCCTACACGAGATGGATGCAATCTCCCATGAGTGTTACCTTTCTAATAAGCCACAACTATATTGTGTAATACTCCATGGGCTGTTCCCTTCAGTTGCCTTCTTTAAGGGGAGCTCCTCTAGGTTTTTGCAATTGCACCAGCCCCTAATTTCGGGATTCTAGCTGCTGTGTGCAGCGAGTAAATGGATCATTTGAGAATTTAACATTTTAATGACTTGAAAATGTATTACTTATAGATACTTAACTCTTTGCACCCCCCCCCCCCTCCAAACTACTGGTGCAGGCTATTCTTGCTTCATCTAAAAATTAAGTTAATTTAGAGTGCAAGTGCTTATGGGGAGCAGGTGCACATAAAGCATGTGTTACTTTTCTATTGGTAGACGACTATTGTCATTATAACATGTGTTAGATGGAAAATAGCTCATGGTTAGTGGCATGTGCAAAATGTCAAAGGCAAACACTTGAAGTTTAGCTACTGTTTGCAGAGAAGTATCTATTGGAAATACATTTTTGGATAAGGAAAGTTACCTTTCCACATTCCTCCTAATTTATTCATTATTGATTGTCTACTATGTGATAAAAAAAATTATAGATTAATAGCTGTTCTGATTTCCTTGTTTTAAAGTTTAGCTAGTATCAACTTGGTAAGTATGATGTATATAATATAAACAACTATCTAAATCTTATATCCAGCTCAACCTGCAATTGTTTGGTGTTTGTTGGAGCATGGTTCTTTAGTTTTGATGAAGTGGTCTGACTTGTTGGTTTCAAGAAAAAGCCAGTCATCAGAAGTTGGCCTCTCTTTGGAAAAGTCACTACATTCTATTCATGAATGTTCTCAAAACATGCAAGACATACAACTTAAACTAGAGTGGCAAGAACAACTTCTCACACAGCTGGGTATAGCAGCTTCTTTATTTTTTTCTGGTGAGTTCCTAGTTATGTACTTTGTAGTGTAAGATCTCTTATAAGGTTTAATTTTATATGGATAGAAGTATTTTCAAATTAAGATCCTGGTGAATAGAACTAGGTGATTAATGAAACTTGAAAATCGATTAATTGTTGAGCTCACTAATTGACTATGTTCAACTAATCAATTATTCACATCTGAGACTTTAGTTGGAATAATTGAAAATAATAATTAGTGGAAACATTAATTTCAATTAGTTGATAATTTTTGTCAAATTAATCAATGTAATCAATACTTGTAATTAATCAATTACACAGATTGATCAAGTTAATCTCAGCTCTAAAAGGGAATTTATACACGAGTGGAAGTGACATCAACATTCACTTCTTGTAAAATGAATTTTTGCATTAGTGATCTCAACATTTACTTCTGTGGCTTTATATGAGTGAGGGTAACTTTAACATTTACACCTGATGAAGTGTGATTTTTACATTATTTCAGAATTGTTAATTTGCCTCTCTGCACAGCAAAGAGCTATTACCCATGCTACTGCTGTAAAGATTTTTGTGCATACCACAAGCCGTAAATGAAGTTCCCATTCCTACATGTATTAATGTGTATTACACCAGCCTATTATATAATCATCATCAGACTGTAGTTCTTCACCAGTAGTAATCTCCATGAGCACTGGCATTTGAACAAAGGCTTATTCTTTTCTCAGCACTGCTTTGTTCAGATGTTTTTCATTAGGAATTAATTACTTTTTTTCACTAATTATTTTAAACTTTCATTACCAGTTAACATTTGTAGTGTGATCTTTATTTCCTTAATTTTCATGATGAGAAAGACTTCAAATTATAAACATTTCATTTAGAACTTTAATTTGAATTTGATTTTTTCCTTTGCTCAAATGTGTAATTTTGGAACACATGTCTCATTATTTGTAATAAGGTTTCTTTGACAGTACAACTTTCCATGATTTTAACCCAGCATACAGATTTTGTTAAGTACTTTCTAACACTGCTATAAGGACACCATCATTTAGACTGATCTTTTAACCACTATGAAACTATACACATAATAATTCCAACATGATATCTTACCTCTCCACACAAAAAGCTTTCTCAACTTATACTGCCTTTTATTGGTGCAATATTTCACTTGCCACTAGTCTTGCTACTCTCACGTATATATGTATATACATATATATATATGTATATTAACATGCAAATGATCTTGCAGCAACCCTCAACTACGGCTATCATAATTAGTGACTTCTCTAATCATGCACATGTTAATCACTTCTAGATTGGCAGTCCTACTGATTAGATGTGTTTTTCGCTCATGGTTTAATTAACCTATATGTACTTCAGTTAATTTGTTATATTATGTTTTTGTTATGTTTCTTGGAGAGTTACAATTTATTTTATTTTGTCTTCTCTCCTCTTTCAATTTCAAGAGTTATGCGCTCACTGTTTCAGGTGGTCACAACTATGACTGCTCTTACTGCGACAGTGGAATTACCACGTCTAATGGGTCGAAACCACGATTCTTAGGCCCATGAAGTGACGGCTCTTGTCTGTCGGGAGTTGGCCAATTTCGTGTAACTATCAGAACACACTGATGATTGTCCTCACTAGGTTTTCAATGATCTTTTAGCTTGGATTTGGACAGCCTTTTTACCCCTCTTGAATATGCCTCTTAGTTACGTGTCATTTCAGGGGACCTCTTTTTTTTTCCCCTTTGGTGGATTTGTTTTTCAGGTATGTTATGTTCTGTACTTATCTACCATTTCCTGTGTTCAACCCCTGTCCTTCTTGAGGATGAGCCTTTGGGTCATTATTTAGTGTTTCCTCTTCCCCCCAGGTATTGAGGTTCATGCAAGACATTTTGAGGGTATTTGTGGTGAGGAGTCAGTATGCCTCAACCTCCACGTACTGTTATCATCGTTTCAACTTCCCATATTTGGACTCACAGCATTTGGTGTCACTTCTCACTTAGTAGGAATCAGACACCAATAATTTGATTACATTTTCTCGTATTTAACCCTTCTAGGGTCAGGGTTGATGGGGCCAGACACCTTCAATTTGCCCACTTTTGGAGGTCCTTGGAGGTTGATCCATGGGTTTTAAAAGTCATTTCAGTATGTCTGGCCTTCTACTTCCATTCATCTCCCAACATTGTTTCACAATTCGTTCCCTTCTCTCCTTTTCCCACCGTTATTATTGTTCTGATCCCACCCACATCCTTTGTTCAATCAGGGCTCTCTGAGGATATATGACATGTACTGCTCCTTTCTGTGGTTTCTGAGACTGTTTGTTTCTTCAGTGAAATCCTCACCTCTCCCATGACCTTTTCCAATTGCCCTTCTGGGTTGAATTTACCAGTTCATTCTCCTTGCATTTTCTTCCCTTTCTCCTGAGGATTGTTGCATTTTTTATGTTTTCTTCCTATCATATCCATCACCTTACCAGTTCCCTGGCTGCACATTTCCATCTTCCCTTGGGGTACATCATTAGTGTTGTAATTGTTTGTCCGTGGTGGTAAGTACTAAGCTCATTTTTCTTTTTCTTTGCAGGGTCCTTTATCACATATTTGGATCCCACTCTCTGGCAAGTGTTGCCTGACCAGGTATACTCTGTCATAAATTTGCACTGTATGACCTGTGAACATGCTATGTGACTCTTCCATTGTGACTCTTCCTACTGCAGACCTGATATACCATTCCAGAGGCTGCCAGGTGTTGGTTGATTGATTCCATCAACACGTTCTCTGTGGTTTCAAAATACAATGACATAACACTTATCCAGCTCATATTATGCCCACTGTTGATATGGGGTGTTCTTCAGGACTGCTCATTGGTATACCATACAGTCTTTTGCTTCATAAATATGTTTGTCTTGAACTGTACTCACGGACTAACAGGAATAAAAAAGACAGATCTGATGATCTGTATCTTTTAGGCTCTTCCTACTACAGACCTGATGCACAATTCCAAGTGCTGCCAGGTATTCGATGATACACTCCATTAATTTGATCACTCTGCTTTTAAAAATAGGGTTTTACAGTCATCCATTTCATTGCCTCCAGTGCTGCAGTCTCCAACACACTTTTTATCCTCCTCCTTCTAGTGGAGTATGGGAGTCCTTACCACTTACCAGTTCCTAGCCACTGGAGTGGTAGACCATGGAGGTCTGTTCTCCTGTGTGTGCACCATACCACTCAGGGTGGTGGCATTCTGTGGGTGTCAATGGTGTGATGCCCTTCTTACCTTGTACCTGATGTACAACTCCAGATGCCGCCAGATGTTTGATGTAGCACTCCACCACACACACATATATATATATATATATATATATATATATTGCAGTTTGCTCCTCTGGCTATGACACCCTCCCTCCTACCATCCTCTGGATGTTGGTTCCTGGGGATTGGGTGTTGGTTGGAGATGGTCCAGCCACATAATTCTCCACATATGTTTGGCTGGTACCCTCCACCTACGAGGACTGGATGATAAATTCACAATTCTACCAGGTTTTGGACTGGAAGTGCAACCCCAAACTTGCAGCCCTCTTCCTACTGTCTTCTGGATGTCAGTTCCCATTGGATCTGGTGTTGGTTGTAGCTGGACAAGACACATGAATTCTCGCTCCTGTAAGGCTGGGTATCTTCCTCTTACCATGGACTGGACGAAAAAATTCCCATTGCCGTCAGATTTTTGACTAAAGATGAACACCCACCTGGGTTCTTCTTCTTCATACCATCTGCCAGTTCACAGTGAATCTGGTGTTGGAGATGCACACATGCGGAGATGGATTCTTGGTACGGGAGCTCCTCATCCCTGCCAGTACCTGGTTTGAGGTGAAAGGTAGAGGATCCTCTTCCTACCACATACCTGATATACAATACCAGATGTTGCCAGGTGTTGGTTAAAGTCAAACGCCTGTCGAGCTCTATCCACTCTACACCAGGGGTGCCATTATTTCTGTATTTTTTGGAACCTCTTTACATTTTGGCAACATATTACTAAAGGGTGAAGAGTATACCTGGCTCAGAAGTGATGTGGTCTACCACTGGTGTGTTGTTTTCAATTCCTTATCACACCTTATGGTCTTCCTTTGGACACTTCTTAAAATGGGATCATTTTCTCGCTGGCCGTCCACCAGTTCAAAGTGGGACTCTAGCTTTTTTGTCGAAAGTTAACATTTTCCTAAACTGAAAATGTATTTCTGATAGACACTTACCTTCTCTCACATTTCACACTTGTTCTCATCACTTCCGGTGTGAGTTACTTTAGTTAGTTATGAGCAATGTTAACTTTTTTAGTGTAGTAAGTGTTTATTCATGAAATTTGGCAACATTTTAGTTAATGTTACAAGCCATTTTGGTACACGGAAAATTCAGAATTTTTAATTAAGTATAGTTGCTAAAGATTTGTATGTGAATTTGTGGAGTCAGACTCCAACTTGTGTGAGTGCAAAGTGATTTTCATGTTAAGGGTAAATTTCTTTTTCCTTTTACAATTTTCTGATTTCATTTGCATAGCCTGTAGAGTCTCCTAAACGAATATAATATTTTTTTCATTAAAACTGTATTTTATCTGTTACTTTCTCTACTGTAACATTGTATACAGGCTCACACCATTTGATCAACTTTGTAACAACCATAGAAAATGTGAAAAAAATCTAAATTATCCTTTTTTCTTTCTAGAATTACCATATATTGTTACACACAATTATATACTATTTATTCTTAAAGCCAGTGGTAATACAATTCAAATCTCGTGGTCATTTAAAGTTATTGCTTTGCTGCCACTGAAACTACTGTCAAAGCAGCATATATAAGAGAGAATTATTCACATTTTTTTAAAAATGGATTACAAGCTTCACTTTACAGAATATAATTCATTAAAGAAAAAGCAACAGATGCTATAAGTTTGCATTTTAGCTTGGAGATGTCTATGGTATAAGGTGTAAATCTTCTAAACTTAGAAAATAATGTAGAGGTGGAAAGAAATTTTAAAATGTACAAGTTGAAGCAAAGAAATGTCATTTGATACCCAAAAGTGAAGATTGAGAATTTATTTGAATGTCCTTTGGAAGTCATCTCATTTGGGATGACTGGTTTGGATTTCCAATTCAGTTTTTACCCACATTGTGTCACATTCACTTGGAGGTCTTTCTAAATTTGTATGTGGGGCAGTTTCAGTCTACTATTTTCCATCTTTGAGACATGGAGTGTAGATTGAGAATTTATTTTTCTCTCTCTCATTTTTCATCTACTCTTTTTTTTCTTGCTTGCTCAACTTCTTTGCTATTTGAGAATGCTTCACTTTCTTTTATATGCTTTATATCATGACTGTTAGCTTTATTGGGGAAACTTGCACATACAGGTTTTCCATCTTGCTCTTGCTTTTCTTCTTCAATTGTGTCCTAGTTAACTTGTTAATTTCTTTCTTGGATATACTTCAATGGGAGCCTTATATTCTGATTTTAACTTCCCTCAGTCTTCTTCCAAGGATCCTTGTGTTGTACCCTTTCTTTGTGATTAGGTTTTTGTATAATTTTGCAATCTTGAGCTGAAGTGGCTTATCATCAGTTATCTATGCTCACTTTGATTTTTTGTTTTTTGTTTACCATCAGGACCCACCAGGTTTCTTGTACTATACAGCCTGTTCCTTTTTCCACTTCTTATTGTTCCTATCTGATGTCATCTGTGGGGTATGGCCTTCTTGGGTCTTGGTAGTGACTTGTTTCTGGAACAACTCCTCAGCTCCAGTCTGGTAAGAGCTCATCTCTCACACTGTACATCTGTGAACTCCCTTTGTCACAGAATACTAGCTTACACAGGTGTTTTTTTGAGGACTTTTCCTTCCACTGCCATGGTACAATTCCTTGACCTCACTCTGAGGTTTTGTCTTTGCCTTTTTGTTGTTTTCACAAAGACAGAAGATTGGTATTGTGTCATAGATCTGTCCTACTTGTACCAACTTTGTTCCAGATGGACAGTTTCACACTTTTCCACGAGTACTCTCCAGGTGTGTGGATGACCCAGATCAAGATCTCAGACTGTTTCTCTACATCCTGAATTATCTCTCCACCTTTTACTTCCTTTGGGTTCAGTGGGCTTTTGCTTGGAGGTCACATTGCTAAGGCCTACTGATACACTACTTTATGAATGTCTGGCTTTTACTTGCCCTATTCGTCCTGGTGTTCACTGTTGTGACCTCCCTCCTCCTTTGGAAGTCCTCTAATTTGGGATGACTGGTTTGGATTTCCAATTCAGTTTTTACTCCACACTGTATCACATTTACTTGGAGGTCTTTCTAAATTTGTACGTGGGGCAGTTTCAGTCTACTCTTTTCCATCTTTGAGAGATGAATTTTCTGATATCTAGGCTCTGTCTCTTAATTTCCTTGATTTTCATGGACATGCTCATGCCCAGAAATCTCCTGTCTTCTTTTTTGCCTCTTGCTATCATGGTGGGAAACTATCCCACACAACCCAAAACATCCCTCTACCCCACCTCACTCAGACTTTTATCTGTTTGGAAGCTCTCTAGGGCTTAGCGGTAAGTCTGAGGATTTATTAATCTCAAACATGCAGATTTTCATACCTGTGGTGAATGCAGAATAGGTAGCCAATCTTGTAGCTTTGTACTTGATAACTAAACCTACAAACAATACCCGTTAACCAATGCCTCTATTCAGGTGGGAGTGAAGTTATGGACTCCTGATCTATCTCCAGGAAGGTAGTTTCTCTATATTTACACCCTTAAGATGTTTGCAGCTCAGCAGGCTTACCATCATGTTCTGTTTGGTCTTCTTATCAAGATCCATTCATATATTTCTTTTGTTGTTTCTTCCATCCACTGACTGGGAGGCACTTGTTCTTAATACGTTTATTTTCTTTGCTCTAGTGTCTCTTTTGCCACATGACCATCACATTCATATTGTCAGTCTATGATGACTTGGGAGCTTAGGCCCTGGTGATGAACTATCTCACCTAGACCAGATCCATCCCAGAGATTGATCTCTCCATCCTCTGGTGTTTTCAGTGGATGTGGTCCCACTATGGAAGTCCTATCATCACTGCCTTTCTAACTTACTTCAACTCATTTGATTTACTATCCCAAAGTACACTTGTGGCAGATGAAGTTCTGTGTTCAGTTTCTTTTTATATGCTTTAGACATATTTTCTTCTTGTTTGTGGGAGATGTGTATTTATTTTGCTTTTTCAAAAATGAGCCTTTGTTGTTCATGGGAATATGTGTAGGACGTGTTGCTCTCATATTGATGGAGGGATTTAGTCTAATGATGATTATATCATAGGCTGGCATAATATATGTTAGTATGAGTTGGGGTGAGAGCTTTGCTCAAAGCTTGTGGCATGTGCATAAATCCTCATGGCAGCTACATATGGTAATAGTTCTTTGTTGTGTAGAGGTGAGTAACTATACAAAATACATTTTACAGGTGAGGAAAATAACTTTGAACACTTACTTACTGATTAGAGTTGGGCACTGGAATTTGTTAATCAATTAGTCATTGGGCTCATTAATTGATTATTCTCACATGAAACTAATCTTTGTATTTTTAGCTTTTATTTGTTTTATAAGACATTTTTGAACTATCCTGTATTTAATATTATAAACATCTTTAGGTACAACAAATTAGCATTAAGTAATGTCTTTAATTCTATACTGTTGTACAAGAAAATTTATCATATATATGTCATTGTATGAAAATGTAACAAGCTGTAAATAGGATTAATATTATTTCATGGGTTTCTCCTTACAACTTTTCATAAGTCTACAAAAACTACTAAATCTCTTGGTGAAAATAGATATTACTTCGTGACATTGATTATAAATGTAATATAACAAACTAAACATAACAGTGAATAGTACTATAAAGTACAGGTTAATATAAATTATTTACACTTATTTGTAGGAGTTGGGTTTACAATTTTATATGAATACAGCTATATTGAACCATTCAAGCACATGGATATTTAAATGTGTGTTTACTGTGCAAATGGACAATAAACATAACAACACATGCAACTTTACTTTTTAGATGTAGAGGACAATAAGATTATCAGTTATCATTGGTATGAAATAAGCCATTGTGAAATGTGAACAAAAATTTATTATTTTGAATCAGCAAAATGCAGATTCATCTTCTTTATTGTTATTACATTTTTAATTGTCACTGCACATTATGAAGGCTATATTGCAATTGCAGCCTGTTTATACAAAATCTGACATGTTTTCCCTTTCAATGCTTTGTATCTAGCTAGAGTTTGTTTTAATTAAATATGGATGCTGTTAATGCAAATTGGTTATGACTTAAAGATATTATTAGACTGTTGTTAGTTTCTGACAAATACAGTTAAATGAGCAAGCTATTCAGCAATCAACATTTTGTTTGAGCAAATACAGTATAAGGAATATTAACTTGCCATAATGATTTTTTATTCAAGTAATCTTACCCAACTAACAGTTGTTAATTTTGAGCTTGTAATAAATAAGTAGCATATTAAGTTAAAGACACACTATTGTTTAGTCCAAGCAAGGTAAACACAAACAACAGGCATCACTGTAGCTAGATATGTAACCATTAGTTACTAGGCCACACTTTCACTTTTGTGAGTTGTGTACAAGCAGAATGCATGTGGACAGTCACTGAAAGGATGAACATGTTTGATGGCATTGGGAATCAGATCCATGTCCCTCAAATTATGATGCAACCACTCTAATCACCAGGCTATGGCAATCCAAAGTTGAATAAACCTGAATTAATCAAAATGATATTAATGAGAAATCATAAAGGCAATATTTTGATTATGTGGAGAATTTGAACAATTTGAAATACTAATTTCAATTAGTTGATTATTTTATGACACAAATCAATGTAATTGATGCTCATATATAATAAATTAATTAAGTACCCTGCTGTACTTGTTATAAAGTGTGTTTTTACATGAGTGAAGAATACTTCAAATATTTGGTTCTGATGTAGTCTGGTTTTACATGGATCAAAGTAATTTAAACTTTTAAAATTGGCAAAATTAATATGTTGTAGTAATTTAAACATTCATTCATTTAGAATAAGATGCATTTTATAACAAGGTGATTTTCTTTTGGTGTAGTTTATATATTAATTTGAACATTAACTAATGTATGTATTTATATATGTTACTTTTGGCAACCCATTTTTTGATCTAAATATGTACATGATTAACTTAGTATTAACATTTTATGATTGTAGAGTAGATATATCTTAAGTGTAAGATTAGAGAGAACTTGGACTAACTCTATTATGTATAATGCTTTTTTTGATGTATTGTTTTTAAAATCCTGGAATTATTTTACTTATAAAATACTGTATTTATTATACTTATTTGCTTAACATGTAGTTTATATACTGCTCACAAGTTATTGTACAGTTGGTAGACTAGCATATTTTTACATACAAGTACTTCAGCAGGTAGCAAGAGTGAGACCTTCCCATCCTGCACCTGTACAGTTGAGATGTTGAGCATCTATTCTGATGTATATGTGCTTCAAGTGCAGTTTGACAAAATTGAAACTCTTGGTCTGAAGAAGGATTGGTGGTATTTTGTTGTTAATGTCCGGGAAAAATATTCTTTGAATGGCAAATCACTTGTGAAAAGTATACCCTGTAAAAAAGGTAAATAAATCTTTAAAAATAAGATAGGTAGTTACTGTAATGCATACCATTTTTTATCAGTGGGTGATATTACTAGTAAACCCTAGACAGTAAGCATAATTATCAAAGATGCTAAATTCTGTTTTGTTTGATCTTTTCTAGCCTATATACCACAAAAGCTATAATTCTTTATTTTTGTGGAATAAAACAATTTATATTGAAGTTCAAGTACCAAAACTGAAGAATTATTAATGCAAAATGTTTAAATATAAAGCCATGTCTGAGTTAACAGTGAATTGTGACTCTTATGAAACAAGATTTCTTCGCACTTATCTTTGTTAAAAACTAGAACTGAATATTAAGGATTTTTTAATATTTGTAAATGTAATTTTTCAAATACAGTGTCTTAATGCGCCAAAGTTAATTCTTTCTGTACAACAGAACACCTCAGGTGCCAAGTGCACAAGTCCATATCAAATATCAGAATTTTAAGTAAAAATAATAATTCTAGCTTTTTCAACAACTTTTGATTCAAAATTATTTTAGATTTGATATATTGTAAGTTTTTCAACATTAATTTAGTGTAATTTGCAAGTTGCAAAGGAAAACTAAAAATATTCAACTTCTTATTTCTATGTAGATTTGAGGAGTCACACCTATAAACAATGCATTTATAAATTATTTGAGAATGTTTTTTACTTAATCATAAAGCATATGATTATATTTGCTGGGAAAATATCTCATGAATAATTATACATGGTTTGTTTCACAGATGATCTGCCTTCTTTTTCACTAGTTTTATCAGTACATCCTGTTCTCACCCTTGTGATCTTAACAACTTTGAAAGTAACTATACGATGGTTAAAATACCATTGGATATAGCAGATTATAGAATATTTATGTCAATGAAACATGAATAAAGTGTTGTGAGAAGTCATTTATGGTTTTGTGGAAAATGACTAGATGGAAGATCAATGGAATCTAATGGGAAATTTAGAAGATTTAAGAAATAAACTACATATCTGGGTATATTTATATAGTTTTGTTAGATATCCTTTTCATTCCTGGAAACATTTTGTATGAAATTATGTTTGTTTGAAAGCTGAATAAATTTTCTGTGACAAGACATCAGGTAAGCTTTGTTAGATTTCGAAAGTGTGGTAGGCAAAGGCAGAATATTCCAATAATTCCAATTCTTATTCATTGAAATATGTAATAACTTCTACCAGAAAAGCTGCAATTGTTGTTAAGCTTATTATGTTCAAACAGTACACAAATATAAAGGAAATAATTGTGTATTGAAAATGAACAAAAATATATAAAATGATGCTGACCAAGAGTATTGTCAGCAAAAATATTGTTACCTAACCTGATCTGACACTATTTTGAATGGTGAGGTCCTAGGTTGCAGATAAATCTTTGCCAGTTTTGTAGTGTTTTTTTTTTTACAAGCTATAGCCAGAAGTGATGACTTCTGCAATCAGCAAAATATAGTATCAAACTAAATTTGTTAATGAGTGTCAATCAAGTTGAAATTGACTGTATACATATATACAATGGGACTTTCTGATAAACAATAAAAAGAAGAAGAAATTATAAGACAAAAGGAAACTTTTTTCAAAATAATATCTCGCAACAAAATTCTGGAAGTTTGATACAGAAAATGATAGAAAACTAAAAAAAAATGTATAACATAACATTAAAGGACAACAAGGGAATTTTTGGTCTATCTAGACCATCCTATTCACTAAATTAAAGCTAGCCCTTATCAAGCTTTCCCTTAAGTTACTGCATCTTCTACATATAAAGACAACCTGTTCCAAAGTCCAACTACCCTGTTTGAGAACTAAAGCTGTTTTAGTTGAAGAAGACTATTACTCTACCAAAATCTACATTTGTGTTCCCTTAGTCTTACTATTCTCACCATTAAATATGAAAAAAAGATGATGCATCAACAATATCAGTCTCCTTAATAAGCTTAAACACCTCAGTTTGATCTTTTCTAACTCTTCTTTTTTCAAGCGAACACAAGTTCAGAGCTTTTAGCCTCTCCTCGTATGACAACCTTTCAATACCAGGTATCATCATAGTAGCCCTCCTCCAAATCCTTTTCAAAAATTCAGTGTCCTTTCTTAAGGTAAGGAGCCCAAGACTGAACACAGTACTCCACATGTGGTTTAACCAATGATATTATAGCCTCTTTAAACTTGTATTCAGTATTTCTGTAGATACAACTTAAAATCCTGTTTGTAATGTTACTAACAACAGCACATTGCTTGGATGGGTTAAGATAATGATCAACCAAAACATGAAGATTCTTTTCTTCCATAACTGTTTGGGTTAGTCTCATCAAAATTATACTCATAATTCAGAATTGTGATCCCAGATGCATTTCCTCACATTTATTATAATTAAAAATAATCTGCCTTTTATTCACCCACCTCGTTAAATAATTCAATTCATAATTCAGAATTGTGATCCCAGATGCATTTCCTCACATTTATTATAATTAAAAATAATCTGCCTTTTATTCACCCACCTCGTTAAATAATTCAATTCCGTTTATAAAGCAGTAGCATTCTCCTTGTAACCAGCAACACCCAAAACTTTAATGTCATCAACATATTTAAATAATCTATTGATCATTACTTACTAAAAGAGCAAAGGTCCTAAAACAGCTCTGAGGTACCCCATTTATGACATTATTCCAGTTTGACTGAACTCCATTCTTAAAAACCCTCTGCTTTTTTTCACCCAGCCACTCTTCTATCCAGTTTGCTAACTTATCCCTCACACCTATAGAGATAATTTTTTTTTACAAGCCTTTTATGTTGCACCTTGTCAAATGCTTTCTGAAAATCCAGATATATAAAACCCACATCTGTACCCTTATCTACATAAGCAGTAACTCTTTTGAAGAATGTCAAAAGATTTGTAAGGACAAGATTTTCCCTTAGTGAAGCCATGTTGACTATCTAATAAGATTCTAAACTTTGTTAAATTTATTATCAGACTTTCCAAAACTTTTTCTACAAATGATGTAAGACTAATAGGCCTATAATTACTGAGACAATTTGTATCATCTTCCTTGAAAAGAGAAGTAACATTAGCCAACTTCCAATCCTCTGGCACCTGACGACTATTCAAGGATTTACAAAAAGTAGTAGTAAGTGGCTCACATATCCAATTCTTAACCTCCTTCAAAACCCTTGGGGGAAATGTTACTTAGCTCAGGAGTCTTATCATTCCTTAAACTTCCCAATTTTTTCTTAACAAGCTCAGAATTAATGTGATCATCTTGTTAAGTCTTTTTTCTATGTAGCGGCTGTTCAGGATGATAAATATTGCTTAACTTTTCATTAGTAAAGAAAGAAAAAGTAGAATTTAATAACCCAGCCATCCCATAATTATTAGATATTAGCTTTCATGTGTCATCTCTCAAAGGCCCTACTCACATCTTAAAAGTTTTCTTATCCTTAAGTTACTTGAAGAAATACTTATAATTGATTTTTACATTTTCAGCCAACCTTTTTTGGGATACTTTTTGTTTTTTCTTTTATTTCCTAATTTTCCATTTGACCAGCTTTCTTGATCTTCTATAATCGTCCAAATCTGTCATTTCAATCAAATGAAACTTATTATATCTATGCTTTTCTTTAATTTTATCTTATACCTTTTATGAGCCAACCTGGTTTATTATTTGCAGCCACCCCTTTTTTGTCTATAAGGAACATGCCTATCTTGACTACTTAAGAACTTATTTTTTAATTTTTTCACAATTGATTAGGATTTACAACTAATTCAGATGCCCAATTCACAACAGATAAAATATGGAACCAAGATCCCAGCCTCTACCTTATCAACCATTTACAATTAATTCATAATAGCATTATTCCTAGTACATTCTCTAACCAATTGTTGAAGAAAACCATCCTGAACAGTTTCTAAAAACCTGTTTCCCTCATGATTTGACTCTAACATTTCTCAATCTATAAGTTTAAAGTTAAAATCTTCCATAATTATAACCTCATTAACAATTGAAAACTTTATTGTACTGTAGAGTTCCTCACTAATTTCACCAGTTTCATCTGGTGGTCTGTAACAAAATTCATCTAGAAGCCTTCTCACCTTCTTTTTTTATAACCACTACCAGAAACCCAAATAGATTCAACCTCATTGCTATTAGCAGCTTTGATATTCTCAATCTGAACTGGCTGTAACTCACATTTTACTCTTTCTCCTTTTTTTAGTACTCTATCTTTATTAAACAACCTATAACCTTTTATTTCAAAGAAATTTCTGTCATAAAAATTGTCTACATTTAGCCAGGTTTCAGTAATTCTTATTATATCAAAAATCCTTCAGTGCTCTAAAGACATTCATTTTATTTCTTATACTTCTGGCATTACAATAACAGTTTATCCTACTATTAAAACTACCTTTTTACCTTGTTCCCATACTATACCCCTTTCTGTATCTGTTTTTCTTTTTTTTGTCATTATTATGGCAAACAAGCCAACTCCTCTAGTTAAATATAAACCGTCCATTCCAAAAAGCTTCTTTTTCCCATTGAACTGATCCTACAAATCCAACCAGCCAACCTACTCTTCCTTACATATTAATCTAAGCATAAGATCCCTCTCTAGTAACCTATTTAAAATTTCATCCCCACAATTGTCTTGGCAGTATCCCTGACAGCATTAAGTTATTATGGCCCTTTTTTTAATGCCTTTATTGATGCCTTGTACTGAACAATAAGCCACCATGACCTACCCTTCACTGCATCATTAGCCTTTCTATGCACTACAGGGACTGCATCACTGCTAGCATTCCTTATTTTGTAACTTGTTCTCTTGAGTATATTAATTAGATTCTCCACCAGTGGACAGCATAATTTAATCTTTTTCTCACAGCTTAACCTACAGACCACCCCATATCTATATGTTGTACCAAAGAATCTCCTATATAAATAATCCTCCTATGTTTTTCATTCCCATCCCTGTATGTCTCTAAGTTCATCATCTGCATAAGTTAAAGGTTGAAATCTATTACTTAGTAGAACCTGTTTATTATAATTAAATCCACTACTACTAACCTAATAGTAATGTTTTAACTACCTCAAATACATTATTAGCCATTATATCCTTTGCAAGCAAAAGCTTAATTTCCTCTTTAAATCATGCTATCATTTCCTACAGTTTACCCTTTTTTTCATCCATAGCCTCTACCCTATTTAAAACAGCTGTTACGTCTCTGTTTGTTAATTAACTTTCCGTAACTTCGTTCCAACGAAACTTTAACGAC